CAGCCTCTGTCAGCCTCTGCACTGAGCTCTGCACAGGGAAGTCCAGGGGAGCAGAGCCATGGTGCCTGCATCCCGGAATGGGCCTGGGAGAGGCAGGTCAGGGACGAGAGCTAGAAGAGACTATCTATCCCTGACAGCCTCTGCCCTTTGGGGGTTAGCCCAAGGCTGGGCTGGTTCCCTTGCTGGGGAAGGAACGTGGCATGATACCGGTGTGCGGACAGGACAGCAGGGGTGCAAGGTGAGGCCACCCTTCCCTGCACACCGAACCACGATGACAGGCGCTGTGCAGAAAAACTATGGGTCACGTTCATCTCTGCGCTGTGCAGAGCCCCGGGAGTAGGGGGGCCTGAAGCACCCACTCCTGTGGCTGATGGGGGCTGGTAAGAGCATCCCTGCCAGATGGGCCTTGCAGCAGCCAGGCACCAGCCAGATCATTGGAACATCCCAGCCATGCCACTTCCCATCCCGACAAGCCCCTTTGCCCCAGGCTACCCCTGGCACCAGCACAGTTAGCTCCGAGCGAGCCCGGAAGGTGCCTGTGCCAGCAGTACTGCCTGGGCGGGACATCCACCCCGTGTGTAGCTGGCACAACATGGCTGCAGTGCCAGGGTTAATTCCTCCCCCATGTGCACAGCCGGAAAGCAAGGGGCCAGCACAGGGCTGGGAGCACAGGTCTCTCCAGTCGCACTCCAGGAGGGAGGGAGAGCTCCCTGTGGAGTCACTCGCTGCTGTACACAGTGCTCTGGCTTCTCCTCCGATCACGTTTTGCCCAGGTGTAGGTGGTGGCCTAGGGCGCAGGGCAGGGGAGAGCCAGGCCCTCTGCCCCTGTATCTGCTGCTCACTATCTGCAGTGCCCTCACGTATGCACTGAGCTGTAGGGCCAGAACCTCTGCTGGGGAAAAGCTCCGGACCCGTGTTGCAATCAGAGAATGACTGCAGTTTACACCAGCTGTGGCTCTGGCCCCTACTGCTGCGTCTCGTCTCACCCTGGTGTAACTCCAGTGGCTTCAGCAGAGCTACTCCTGAGTTAGGCCAACACAGCAGAGGGCAGGTGGGTCCCGTAAGGAGCTGTCTGCCCATAGTTTGAGTGGAGGGTGACACCCAGGTAGCAGGCTAAACTGGCAGCTCTAATGGCTCATTCTAAGCTCGTCTCTTCGTGTACGTTGTTTTGCGGCATCCCCCCGGGGAAGAAGGAGAGAGTCCTCCACCTTGGGACTGTGCTGCAGCGACTGCTCTATGGAGTGACCCCGCTGATCCCTCGGCATCAGATGACACCAGGCAGTGCTGTCTCCCAAGGACACCAGCAGGCTGGGAGCTTTCTGGAGTACTGAACTCTCCCCTGGTCCCTTCCCTTGCGCTGGTTCATGGCTGTCCTTTGGTGGAGTGTTGCTCTGATCTGCTGTCACAGGCTGCAGCCAGCCCTGTGTATCTGTTCTACCTGTGTTAGTTCATAAAAAATATTTTGTTGTATCAAATGCTGTCTTGGTTCCGTCCATATCTCCTCCGGAAAGTGACCATGTGAAATGGCACGCTAGGCCCATGGTTTATTGTGCCCCAGTCATTTCCAATCCAGCAGGGCTCAGTTACTATGACTGTCTCTTTTCAGACTCTGCCTGGAGTCTGACAGTCAAGTTGGTCTCTTCCTTTCTTGTGCATCATCATCAATCATGGTGGTTCTGCAGCCCACAATCACCAGTGGCATGCACTAGGCTAACGGGCTGGCATTGTGAATGGGACTCAGTAACCAGTGCTGTTGGGAAGGCATTCCTTACTAAAGCATGCGCCGTCTGTGAGCACCCCCGTGGTGGCTCTGGAGACAGCTTGGCCAGAGGATCTGGGCCAAGTGGACACAGGAGGCGTTTAGGGGAACCACTGCCCTAAACAGTGGCCAGGAGATGGACCATTCCACCAAAGGCAGACACAGGTACTTACCCTGCTGAGCCCAGCATGGTGCTGCCTCTCCTGAGCTAAGCCTCCTGCATTACTGAGCCGTGGGAACAATTTCTAGCCTTCAGACAACTGGCAGAGCAGGAAATTCAGGCCATACCCAAGTTCTGTGCTTAACGGTGGAGTACAGCAAAGGCCTGATGGTCAGACACCAGAGTAGGGATTAGAATTCAGTCCCAGTGGCTCAGATCCTCAGTGATATTTAGGTGCCTAACTGATTTCATTGGGGTTAATCAACTAACTCCCCTTGAAATCAATGGGCATTAGGTGCTTAACTACACTTGAGAATCTGAGCCAACATTCAATGGCCTTTCGTTCTAGGATTATAATAGGGAGTTGCTGTCTTGAGGGACTCCAGTAGCAGCATACGACCAAGGAGTTTAGTTTGGACGTACGGGTGGAGCCCTGCGATATCGGAAAGTGAAGTAGTATGGTCGTATGACAGACCCAAACAGTGAGCCAAGAGGGGCTGTTTCAAGTGCATCGACCCTGGGGCTCGGGTGGTAAAGGCTGCAGCTTTTGGACAGATTAGCTGTCCAGGCTCTCAGGGAGGAGAGAGATAAGAAGAGTTCGGGGAGCTCCGAGTGTGGCTGCCATAAACTGCCACAGTGAAAGTATCACTTAACACCAGACTGAAAAAGGACAAGTTCCTTCCCCACTCAGTTGTAGCAAACTCAGTCTGGGCAGCCACATTCCCTCTGCAGCAGCTGGTGGGGTACCTAGGGCTCATGTACGATGAGCCTGATGGATCCAAGGTGCTCTCTCTCACACACATTCTTGAACGATCGAGGAACCTATTAGTCAATCCTCACCCCCCAGCAAGGACAATGCATTTGTCCAGCCTCCATGGTGGATCGTGACATGTGCCTATCTCTTTGCCACATTTCCACTAACAGCTGGCTAACACTTCATCACCATATCCGGCCTTCAGACCATAACCAGAGAAGGGAGGGGGCAAAAGACTCCATATAGCACTCAGATCAGGGCCAGCTCCAGGCACCAGCTTAACAAGCAGGTGCTTGGGGCGGCCACGGGAGAGGGGCGGCACCTGCGGCAATTCAGGGGCGGCAGGTCCCTCACTCCCTCTAGGAGCGAAGGACCTGCCGCTGAACTGCCGCCGCCAATCGCGGCTTTTTTTTTTTTTCTTGGGGCGGCAGAAATGCTGGAGCCGGCCCTGACTCAGATGCAGTGGTGACAGGTGCTACAGAAAGCCCCAAGACAGAGGAGCATCCTAGAACCTACAGGGTTCCTCTTGGACATGGTTATTGCTACTATTTCTTCCCATGGGTAAGAGCATAAGAATGGCCAGACTGGGTCAGACCAAAGGTCCATCTAGCCCAGTATCCTGACAGTGGCCAATGTCGGGTGCTTCAGAGGGAAGGAACAGAACATGTAATCATCAAGTGATCCATCCCCTGTCGTCCATTCCCAGCTTCTGGCAGTCAGAGGCTGGGGACACCCAGAGCATGGGGTTTCATCCCTGACCATCTTGGCTAATAGCCATTGATGGATCTATCCTCCATGAATTTAACTAGTTCTTTTTTGAACACAATATTACTTTTGGCCTTCACAACATCACCTAACAACGAATTCCACAGGCTGACTGTGTGTTGTGTGAAGAAGTGCTTCCTTATGTTAGTTTTAAAACTGCTGTCTATTAATTTCATTGGGTGACCCCCTGGTTCTTGTGTTATGTGAAGGCATAAATAACACTTCCTTATTCACTTTTGCCACACCAGGCATGATTTTATAGACCTCTGTCATATCCCCCTTTAGTCGTCTCTTTTCCAAGCTGAAAAGTCCCAGTCATTCTAATCTCTCCTCATATGGAAGCTGTTCCATACTCTTAATCAATTTTGTTGCCCTTCTCTGTATCTTTTCCAATTTTAATATAACTTTTTTTGACATGGTGCGAACAGAACTGCCTGCAGTATTTATAGAGTGGCATTATGATATTTTCTGTCTTATTATCTATCCCTTTCCTAATGGTTCCTAACATTCTGTTAGCTTTTTTGACTGCCTCTGCACATTGAGCAGATGTTTTCAGAGAACTATGCACAGTGACTCCAAGATCTCTTTCTTGAGGGGTAACAGCTAATTTAGACCCCATCATTTTGGATATATAGTGGGGATTATGTTTTCCAATGTACATTACTTTGCATTTATAAACACTGAATTTCAACTGCCATTTTGTCGCCCAGTTACCCAGTTTTGTGAGATCCTTTTGTAGTTCTTCGCAGTCTGCTTTGGACTTAACTATATCTTGAGTAATTTTGTATCATCTGCAAATTTTGCCACCTCACTGTCTACCCCTTTTCCCAGATCATTTACTAATACGTTAAACAGCACTGGTCAGACCCCTGGGGGACACCACTATTTACCTCTCTCCATTCTGAAAACTGTCCATTTATTCCTATCCTTTATTTTCTATCTTTTAACCAGTTACTGATCCATGAGAGGACCTTCTCTCTTATCCCATAACTGCTTACTTCGCTTAAAAGCCTTTAGTGAGTGAACTTGTCAAAGGCTTTCTGAAACTCCAAGTACACTGTATTCACTGGATCGCCCTTCTCCATGTGTGTTGAGCCCCTCAAAGAATTCTAGCAGATTGGTGAGGCATGATTTCCCTTTACAAAACCTGTGTTGACTCTTTCCCCAACAAATCGTGTTCATCTATGTGTCTGATAATTCTGTTCTTTACTATAGTTTCAACCAATTTGCCTGGTACTGAAGTTAGGCTTACCAGCCTGTGATTGCCAGGATCACCTTTGGAGCCTTTTTTAAAAATTGATGTCACATTAGCTATCCTCCAGTCATTTGGGACAGAGCCTGATTT